AGTTTAAAATACCAAAAATATCCTTGCTTTAAGATTTTAATTTAAAATTATCAAATTTATAAATTTCCTAATTTATCTATTGATTTGTGGTTAATATTGGTTATCACAGTTACCACAAACAACTCAGTTCTCTCTTGAATAGGCCTATATATATATATATATATATATATATATATATATATATTATCTGAATAACATAAATTGATGTAATTTTAGACACCGTGTATTCATAATTGAATGTAGACATTGCTACGATAATATAGAATAATGAAGCTCATTTAGTGTATATTCATTAATAAGAATTGAATACATACTAACAAAATAATACACACAAAAACCACGATAAGGTTCGGATCGAAGCTGTTTACTGTCGATGCTAAACACCACAACGAGCTACAAGGGTACAAGGAAGTTGGCCTAGATCAATATCAGTAATCATTCGATACTAGCTAGTCATCGATTTGTACATATGAGAAGATCTATTAGCAAGTAAATTACCACTACGAAAAAATCGAAAAAAATATATACTGTCTATAATAATCATGTATAATTAAGTGTAGTTAAAATAAATACATATCAATTTTTTTATTTTTTATTTTGATGTAATAAATGGTGCAATTGGTTGGTGAAGAATTGGTGTTTATATTAAGGGGGTGTTTGAGATTGCTTATAAAAACAACTTATTGATTTATTTCGGTGTGACATCGGTAATAAACACTTTTAAGTGTTTGGATAAACAACTTATATCGGTGCCAAATCGGTAATAAAGAGTTTTTAAAAAAGTTAAACCCTTCAGACTTATAATAAGTTGATAAATGCGTATGTGGAAAAATATAAATTGTTTCAAATAAGCAATCCCAAACACCCCCTAATATTTTATATTGAAATAATGTAAATGAAATTAAAGGTAGGGTAAAGTGAAATTTCTTGGATACCTAAAGCAAATGGATTTGTTATGACAATTTGCATTTTAACAAATATAAAAAGTGAATTATTAATTAAATAGTTTATTAATTAGGGTTTATATTATTTTGTACATAAATAGATAATGATTTTGACTAATTTAGTTAAAATAAATGGAATTAGACATTAATTAGGTGTCTCCTTGAAGGGATTTTTTGCATAGACAAACCTAGAGGGGTGGTTAGGTGGCACGTGTCACCGTATTGTTCCTTCGCAGTAAGGTAAAAAAAAAAAATAGATTCGTGAAAAGATGCAATCGTTTTATTCTAGAAGGTACAACTGTTTTATATGATACCACCGTATCCAAAAATTCTTGGGTCCGTCCTTGATCTTTTATACATAGTAATGTAGAAGAATATATTTTTTTTATAAACAACCTATTATTAATAACTTGTTGCATACATAACAATTATGGCTATATACTTTTGGAGTATAATAACATATATTTGAATTCTTTTTTGTCAACCCTAGCTTAGTGAATAAAGGAGACCCTTTTCCCTTGCCTATAAAGCATTGGACACATCATTTACCTAGACTTAAACAAGTTTATTTAACAATAAATATATAATACTAACATATCAAGGTCTCAACGGGTCCCATAAACCCGTTTAATCGATTTTCACAAGTATAATTTTAGTTTTGGAGTATAAAAGATGCACACGCGAAACTTTAAGGGATACTCCAGAATTTTTGAAAAATACAAGATTCATCTACCAAAAACCCGAAAAAAGTCTATTGAAATCAACCAAAAAACTTAAAGAATTTCCAAAATCAACCAATTTTAAAAAAAAAAAAAATCTCTCTCCAAACAATGGAATTTGGCTTAAAAACACATTTAACGAATTTGCAGGCTTTTGATCTACCTTAA